CAACGAGTAATAAGAAATCGATTATGAAAGAGATCGAAATAGTTCCCAACGTCAAACAAACTGTTGCAACGGATACGNTATATTAAGAATCCGAATTAAAACAAGAATTGAGTTTCACAATCCATTAATGATTGGACAATCCATCCGCTACATCATTAAGAAGACAATCGCTGTATAGACAACTTATCCACTGGTACTCAAATCCAATTTCCTTTTTTAACAACCATTAACCTGGCATACTCATGGAACGGTTCTGGACAATACCTTTCGGACGCATCTGGTTGAATAGTGGGACAAGTAAACGAAAAGACAAATGGTGAACAGCGAAGTTCATGTAAAAATACAGAAAATAAGCGAACCACATCCGCGCATAAAGTGAGTACATGCACGACCGTCAAACAATTGTTCCCAACCATGATTTGGGTGGGTTACGAGGACCACAACCAGACCCCGAACATGGTACTTATAAGGGATATCCTTAGCCCTCTTTGAACCAATATCCGCGCCGGCAAGCTGGCATGGTGACATCCGATTCAAACTGGAGCACGCTCTTATCACCGATAACAGATTGCAACACACGGAACATTGGTAAAACTAATCAAATTCACTTGGTGAAACTTCGTCCGCCGGTGCACACTGTGATGAACGAACCGAATGTAACAGACACGTCAACATAATCGGAAACTATTTATTTAAGAACACCCCCAAACTAGTAAGTACTTTAGTTCTGTTATCAGCTCTCAAATCAAACCACGGAACTTTGTCTTATTGTATCATTTTACTACGATTTGTTTCGTACACAGCCTGGATTCAAACAAGTGAAATATATCCATCCATTACCTTTTAAACGTAACCTTGAAAAAATCTTTCACCAACTCCATATTCAAGACGCTTCAAACACAGGCGCCATCTCAACTTTCTTACATTTGGTAAATGCATTGGAATCCATTTATACCTAATGACTTGTGAAGCAATTTTGCACCTTACGTTCCTTTCGCACGGAAATAAAACACTCGCAAGTTACAACGCCACAGTCCATCAGAAGAGCCACAATGCAGAATGCTGAGCGCGACAGGTAAGCTTTCTCGCGTTCAGACTTACGTAGATGGCCCTATCACCCACGCTGTGAATAAATCTCACGATTACTACTCCACTGGAACCAGGCCATAATGAACGCAGAATTCCTAATAAATGTTGTGTGATGAACAGAAGAGGCGAACTCCAGCCACAAGGACCCACTGTTCATTCACAGCAGCCAGCAACCTACGTCGTGGTGACCCACGAAAAAGGCCTACCAGCAGATGCAGGTGCTACAGAACCTGTCCACTACCAAAATTGTTAAACGCAGTGTTGCTAACTAACCAACGTGACAGATATCACTCGAAAACACCCCGATCATTTCATCCAAAAGCTATAAGTCTACCACTGACAGAAAGCGAATGATAAGACTTGATGTTTCCGCTCACACAGTCGACTCACTGATCCACAGAATTGAATTCGGTCAATCCATTCTACTGTGCAAGTGCTCAGTGAGGCATAACTTCATTTATGATGCTGTTTCCAGCACAGGAAAGTAAAAACGGTCCGAGAATGTTCTTGTGTTTACTGCACAATGCGCGACGGCTGGAATGAAATGGACGGCTAGCGATTGTTTAAACCCGTTGTTAGGCCAGACATCTGAAACATCACCGCAATTGAAGAAAGTCTCATTTGTTTCCATCAGAGGTTATTCAAAGGTACTAGGTAGCATGATCCCTAAGACCAGCGGATGCAAAGGACTACCTACCGGCTTTGTTTCAACTAAAGGGCTGAAAATAATATGCGAGATTAAGCTCAGATGCAAAACGAATACCAGTCCACAACTTGGTTCAGAAAGTACGGTTTTGAAAAAGTTGAGGCGAAATAAGCTAGATTTTTTCTTTTTCATTTTTACTTCCTTTTATTGAACATACTAAGATACAACTTTCAGGAAGGGGGACAATGCTAGTACATAAGTGTTCCACCTGTGCAAAGCGCCAAACGAGCCCTAGGGGATGGATCAACCGACTCGATTGAGATTAACAAACCTCGGGTTGATGAGCACCGGCTGTTCTATGATTACTCAAGCCTTGGTTCAACTTAACCACATGATAGTTAGTCATAATAACTAATACGGAGAGGTCGTGCTTCAATAATGAATGATTAAACTCATCCAATGAGCTTGTCCTGCAAGCAACCAGATTAAAGAGAATAGTACTATTTCCTGTTTCCCGGATACTTCACACACTCAAAGCTCTTCGTGGAAACCAAATAAACGAGTACACACCAGGAGCGATCAAATAAATTGGCACAACAGACTGTTCACTTCACCATTATTCTGCTTCACGGATCTACTTGCTACCTTTTTAAATATAGTTCAATAGCTAGCAGGCATATTGCTCAGTCCGCACAATCGCTAGTCCCTATGACCAGGCTTATTGTTTTATTGCACTGCTTTTAACAGCTTAAGACTTTACCATCTACACACAATCAAACAAAACGTCAATTTGTCAACCGACGGTTCTACCTGTGACGCACCCATACTCTATACCCTCTAAGTGCACCTCAGTTGGGCCCAGAAAGAACCAAGTTCGGTAAAAAGACCTAATAAGCCTTAAGGAATATGATCAGAGGTTCTCTTATACGAAACGCCTTGAGTACTGATAGGTCATTGATCACACTTTTGAAGACCCCTGAATTACAGAACCTATTTTTTGAGCAGTAGAGCTTCAATTCAGTTGTGCAACCTTTCGAAATAGCAGTTCTCCACATTCTAGTGGCATCTGGTAAGTCCATTACTCACAATCCTAGGCAGGCGAACTTACCAGCACTAACCCGAAAGCATCGAAAGTGAAGATAACTCAACACTCGCTCTCATGTACTATGATAGATAAGGAAAGTGGATCCAGTGAGCTTTTCGTAACGAAGAGCGATAAACTGACACGTACTAATCAGTCATTGGAATAGCGGAAACGAACCTTATAAGCCTGAGAATGGAAAACATGCACTGAAACGACATGATCATAATTAGAATCCCGTATATTTTGTCTAAGAGAGTAGTAGTAGAGAGGAGTGCGGGCAGTCGGATGCGGAGGGGGGAGGGAAGCAAAGAGAGGGGCAAGAGAGAACGTCACAAATAGTGCTTGATCTATGGTACAGTACAGTACAATACAATGACGAAGGATCATCAACCAGCTGACGAGTCGGATACAAACTAGGCGCGCAAGTAGGGGAGAGACAAACAACGTGAATGAGCATCGCTTTTTCGGGATGCTCGAGTTGGGCAACAAGCAGTAATAATAAGAACCAGACCAGCGTCGGCAGGGAAGACCAGCCGATGTTGGCGGAACGGGTGAAGATCAACATCCCCAGGAGGGCGCATGTCCACAGACACTTAGGCAGACAACTTATTGAATAAGGGTTGGCTGGCAAAAAAACACGGACAATGTGCGCAACAAAGCAAGAATCGGTCGCAAGGGGTCCATTGATACAGTGTGGACATGTGGCATGCGAATCTAAGGGAGTTTAGATAGTGCCCATGAGCACGTGCACCGGTCCTCTCCATATGGATACAGTAGAGACTGAGAAGCTAGGGTCAACCTGTATCGTACTCCTACAAAGCATGATCTGATGGCCAACGCAATCCACGGGTGCAATGAGGGACCGCAAACGTTTTGATTGGAGCACCGGTGCCGCACGAGAGTTAGAGGACGCGCATCCAGATGGGAGATTTCGAATGAACATGGCGAGGGCCGTAGAAAACACAGGTCAGATTTTTGTGTGCAGATAAAGGGATGATAAACATTTGGCAACAGAAGACGCACACTCCGAGACCGGAAACAGTGCAACGTTATTACGGGGAGTCGGAGGAATCCAAAAGAGACAAGGTGATCATCACACATGGGATTTACAACCAAACATTCAAAGTGAAGACTTATCAGCGACTTCCATGAAATCGGAGGGAAAGCAAATAAAGCTGAGCGAAGTGTGACACGGGGAAGAAGTTCGCTGACCAAAAGATGAAACAAACCCAACATAATTAGATGCATGCGCGCACATGAAAACAGACGAACCCGTAACGCGAATGAGTAGGTATCCGGTTTGTGGGGACGAGCACAGGGATGAGCTTGGTATGCACGAACCGGCTGTGTATATAATGGNCGAGTGCGTGTAAATGACCAGGAGGGAAGAGTTGGGCGGAATCAAGGTGGGAAAGACAAACCGAACGATCCACCTGGGCGAAAGGCAAAAGGTTGAGGAAGCAACGACAAACCGAGTTCACACAGAAATTGATGGAGCGGTGAGAGCAGTTTGCTAAGAGTGGAACGCACAAAACACGAGACTGCATACATGGTTCTTCCAATCGAATCAGAACTTAGTTTACCGTAAATGTGCCGGAAGAGGGAGAGTGGCCGGTCGAATTAGGTGCAGAAGAATGATTAACACGCGCGGACTGGGAATAACACGGCCCACGAAGTAGTGGTTTATAACAAATGCGAATGGTGAACGGTTCTGAATTCATCCCGGAGCTGCGCCGCTGACACTGAGGAAAAGACGGTAAAGTTTTCAGGCATGAATTTGCACCGAGCGTACAATTTCCATCAACACAACGAGTGTTAATGGGCGAGCCAGAGGGTGAAGGGAGATGAATATAAAGCAAAGGAAGTCATTCAGCATGTGCCAGTAGCATTGTGGGATTGGATGGCCAGCGAAATGAGCGCAGATAAATGGAAAGAAACAGTAGATACAACAGAGTGGGAGAACAATCAAAATGAAAGAAAACGAAAACTGATAGCGAGGGTTGTAGGTGGGGGATGAGGCGTCGTTAATTCATCACACTGCACTTGACCAAATTAGGTAAATGATAGTGTGAAAAGTGCGCACCATTCGAGTTACTTGAGAAAGACCGTTACCCAAAAGACACTGACACTAATCAACCGGATAAATGATTGGGAATGCCACCGCGGTCACAATTTCTTCAACTACTCGTGAGCAGGTCGGTGAACTGATTGCGCGTGATGGGAACTACCAGAGTTGTGAACTCCAGACTGCTTGAGAGAAGCTAACGGATCGGAGAAAAAGGCCGTTTGATGTGGTGGAGCCGGTGCCGTGTTTGGATAGCCCGAGCCCAGCTGGGAAGGATAAACCCATCGGTTTTGACCGGATCCAAGAGAAGTGTTCGCATTGCCTAAACCTGAACCTGTCGAGGGAGCACCATTCCATGGATACATACCGGCTACTGCAGCCATCGCTGCTGCCACCATTGATTGTTGCGTCTGCTGCTGATTGTCCGATGAGCCGTTGCCTGTAGGCATGGCGCCAGGGACAAGATTGACATTGTTAAACGCACTGTAATCAGGGATCGCACCTGTGGACAACTTGTTGGAAGGCATAGAGCCGGATGAAGCACCTGCAGGATATGATCCACCAACTGTAGAGGGAGGCCACATGGGGGTTTGCCACGACGTAGGACCAGTGTGCGAAGACCCACTGGCGCCTAACCAATGTTGGGGTGGTGCTTGTGATTGCTGCGGTTGTTGCTGCTGCTGTTGCTGTTGTTGCTGCTGCTGTTGTTGCACCCAGTTCATAGTCAATGCCATGAACAATCCGTTAGGATTGGAAGTAGCCGAAGGCTGCTGTGGTGAAGGAGCTTGAGGATGCAAGGAGGAAGATTGATTGCCGATGGTTGCATTAGACATACCAAATGGATTCAAACCGGTACCGTTGCTTGTCGGAGCTGAATAGATCATGTTAGATGGTGGAGCGCCCGTAGACGCGAGTGTCGTTACGGTTTGACGGCGTCTTTCAGCGCCAATAGGTTGGATAGGTGGTGGTTGAACCGCTGAAGTTTGGTGCATGCTCGTAGAAGCACCCATAAGAGTACCTCCTCCTAGCAACGGGACAGATGGACCAACACCTATAAAAGAAAAAAGCACTACGTAAAACGACTCGCAACTCGGGTTGGCGGCGTTTCATAAGGGAATATAAAAAGTTGGAACTGTATTGAAACTTCTAATAAAATTAACCAATGTGGTTTATCTGCTGTTTAATGAAGATTCACTCAATCATCGGCGCATCAAAAGCATCTAATCGATATGCAGAATAATGCGCAGCAGAAAAAATGATAACATGGACCATACGCAAAACAACTGAACAGTGCTCATGTCAAATGAAAATTTCTCTCACAAAACGGTACACAATCGAAAGTGGCAGAACCTTGTAAGTTTTGTGGNTTTGTGGAAAGTGGATACTAAGAAGAATACATTCTTATGATTTTCGTATAAGGAAAGAAATTTCTCAATTCTTTAGTTTATTTTGGATCTGGTTCACTTTATCATAGAGGAACCGCCCAAAATACACAGTAAGGGATAATAAAGCTGAGATATAATAGCTGTATGCCCGTTGTTCAGCTAGTTGCTATTGCCAGGGCTTTAACAAAGTTGAAACAACATTTGCTCAATATATATA